AAAAAAAAACCTACACAAAAGCTACTGGACGAAGCCCTCCTCTGAGCTGACGCTGCAATCCGGCACATCACCAACCAATAAACTTACACAAAAACTACTAAATGAAGCCCTCCTCTAGGCTGACGAGCAACACCGCAAGTCGGCATGTCACCAACCACCCAGAGCCATCACCCCACAGACTGTGACTCGAATTAGAGCACCAAGCCTGAAACTGCAGCAAAGGCCTAACAAGACCCAACCCTCCAAACTCGTTGTCTCAGGAGGCCGACCACCCATAGGCAAGGACAAATCAGCTCCAAAGTCGACTACCTCGCATAAAACCATATAACACATTAATTGCACGCATCAAAGTTCAAAATGTCCAAGCACGATCTAAACTTCTCAACAGGCAAACACTTAGTTCCCATATCGGCATGACTAAATTTAGAAGCAATTTTTTCAAGATTAATCAAGCCTTTAGACACTATATCACGTGTAAAAATCCCGTTTTTCATAATCGTACTAAGCATATAGACGTTCGGTTTCATTTTATACGTGATATAGCGTCTAAAGGCTTGGTTAATCTTGAAAAATTGCTTCTGAATTAATCTTGTCGATATGGGAACTAGGTGTTTTTCTGTTGAGAAGTTTAGATCGTGCTTGAACGTTTTGAACTTTGATATGTGAGATTAATGTGTTACATTGTTCTATGTGAGGTAGCCGACTTTGTGTATGCTATATATTTTCCCTAACTTTGTGTTTGAGTGCAGGTACGGTAAGGTAAGGCGATGATGACCTCTGTCAACCTGAGTCTTGTGAACCAACCAAAGTGGAGATTGTTGGTGTTGTAGCCTAAAATGATATTTTTGTTGATGGGCCAATATTCAAATATTTCTCTGGCCCAATCTCTTTGGCCTGAGCCCAATTTGGCAGCCCATTGTGATCTACACGATCTTGACCGTTCATTTATCCTCTTAACCTACTAGATGATTTTTTTGGAAAGGGGGCCTAATATTTATTTCTCCTAAGCAGCAGCCATCAGGGACCCATTATTGTGACGAGTCTCGTATGCATCATGCTTGGTCGCCCTATAACGTCGCGTTCACCCTATGTGAAGTGTACACTCTATTGCATGGTTTACGCTTCTCGGTTTGTTCTTCTTTGACACTTAGCGGCTATTCTGGTGCAAATTGAACTTGTGTTCCTACTAATTGTCGCTCCACTAACGGGTTTTGCTTCTTTTTGAATGTTTCACTAGTCTCATTGCGCAATAATGAAATAAATATTGATTTCTAGGTCGAGTGTTGAGTCTGAGTGCAATGTTCTTGCTAATTCCATCTCAGAGCTATTGTTGTTGTGAGGCTACTTGTTTATCTCAGTCATCGTCTACTGATCTACATTGTGATAGTGAGAGTGCTATAAAAATGTCTCGAAATGACATCTTACATGAGCGCACCAAGCATATTGAGATTGATTATCACTTCATTCGACAACATATTATGCATGAGACTGTACCACTTATTCCAGTTTCCTCTACGAATCAAACAATAAATGTCTTCACGAAATCTTCCATTCTCAATCCTTTTGGTTGCTTTCTTAACAAACTCAAGTGATCTCCACTATAGCACCTTGAGTTTGAGAAGAGTATTAGTTATATAGTTATAAAATTATATAGTAGTATTATTGTATTGTAGGATAGATTATGACTCATTCTAAGGTTAACGCTGATCAATTCATTTATCCTTATATATGTTTACATATGTTTGAATATACAACATAATTTTTTTCTAATCCTCACAAAAATAATGTTTCAGAGTTGGAGATAAACTTAAAAAATAAATTTCCATTACTCTGCGTGGGACTAAACTGAAATAAATAGTAGGGGCATCATATTACCACCGATGACGTGTGGTGTCGGTGACCACTTTTGTTAATGTCCGTCCGATCGAGTCGAGGCCAGCTAACAGGACAATAAACTTCAACAACTCCTCCATTTTTTTCTCACAGCAAAAGCTTTCTTCATTAACTTACTCCCTCTCACATTCCAAATCCCGTCAATGGCGAGCACCTCGTGGGCTTACGCTCTATGCATTCTCTTCGTCTCGGCCTCCGCTAATGTTCAGAGTAAGATTCTTTTTGTTCTGTAAAACGAAATTTTGCGCAATTAGTGAGTTGCTGCATAGTTATAGCTGTAGATTGAGCGCAGACGTGATAATTAATGGAAAGTGTAGGCGTGACGGCTTGAGAACTTGAGTTTTTTATGCTAATTTATGACTACGGGTCGTTTCCTTTTCTGGCGCATTGTGTTTGAGGTAGTAGGTGGAGTACTAATTTGGTGTCGAGAGTGTGGAATTTATTACTTGTTTTAATGCCCGAGATTTTTTTGGGGATATTGAGTCAATTGAAGTTAGATCTCTGTGGATTAATTGTTGATTTCCCGTGTTTGTGCAAGATTTTTGCTGCAGTGATCTTGTGCTGTCATATACATTATTGGGTATTTTCGACAATAGTCGATATTTGTAGATTCGATTAGTTCTAATCCATTGAATATCATGGTGAAGTCCTGTATGACAGTGGAGGTATGCTTCATGTATGTTTTCTATTTTGTGTAGTTTCTTAGCCCTTGTCGTATTTTTGAAACACATTCGGGTAGATGCTTGACATATCATTATTGTGCCAACTGTTCAATGTTCATACGCTTCTGCTCTATTTTGTTCTTTCGATCGAAAACCAGTTTAACATGCATCAGGTTGTGGGTTGTAGACTTTATTAGTTGATTAATCTAGAAAGCGCAAATGCATTTCTGTCTAAGCTAATTGGAGTGTGTGTTTGTTCTTTTCCTTTCAGTTTCAGTTTTCATTTTTGGAATGTGGGTTTTTTCCTTTTCATTGCGCACTTGTCATTAATGTGGCGAAAATGGTTTTAAATTTGCCTAAAGTTCAAATTCGATACCTAGTTGTGTTTGAAATCCTAACAATCAGCTATACCTCTTGGTTAATATATCCTAGACCTAGAACTTGAGCTTTTTTGCAACTTATCTTCCTATGTTATGGTTTGTTCTAATGTGCAGTCACCAGTTACACCTAGTAATGTCTATGCTTGTAGGCCTTAGGTAGAGTTGTGAAACGAAACGAGTAACAAACAAGTTGCTCATGAGCTCGTCTTGGCTCGTTAAGGCTCGAGTTTGGCTCAGCTCGTTGAGCTCGAGCTTCAACAAGCTCGTGTAGTAACAAGCCGAGCTCAGTTCGGCTCGTTAAGACTCGAAAACAAAAAAATTATATAATTTTCTATAGTTGGACTCTTTAATGCTCGATTTTCACTCGTTAAGGCTCGAGCTCGACTTGTTAATATTGATAAATGAGCTGGGCTCGAGCTCATATTAATGGCTCATGTAGTTAACAAGCCAAGCTGAGCTTGAGCTCGAGCTCTAGGACCATGAGCTCGGGCTTGGCTCGGCTCAGCTCAGCTTGGCTTGGCTTGGCTTGGTTACACATCCAATCTGTAACTAGAGTTTACTGAGTTGTCAAATATTGTATACAATCAGTGAAGCTAGAGTCAGCAACTTAGTCACAATTCATTTTGTAAAAATGACTTACATCTCCTTTATTTTTCAGTTAATTAAGTTCTCAATTTATGGTTCCTTCATGCTCTGATTTTGCCTCTTTTTAAACATCCTAATTCGTTCTTACTACTAATATTGAGGTTAAACTTCCTGCGTTTTTTTTTTCCCTTTTGTCTTTGCCTTCTTATGACCCAAACAACAGATAAAGTGACAGATAACCCGGCCGACCAGCTAGTAGCTGCAATCAACAGCAACAGAACCGCAAGCAGATCACCGTCCCTCTACAGCAACCCGGGTCTCGCTTGCATCGCCCTCCAATACATCAAGGCCTACCAAGGGGACTGCAACTCGGTCGGGGGCCCAAACGCCAAAAAGCCCGCCGACTCCGAATTCGCCGAGACATTCGCACCCAACTGCAACGTGGAGACATCGACCCTCACCCCAATCACGGGCCGCCTGCTGGGGTGCCAGTCCGAGTACGCGAACCCGTCCCACGCATTCTCGGGTATCCTGATGAAGAACAACCGGAGCCTGGAGATAGTGCACAGCAGGAACCACACGGAGGTGGGAGCTGCCGTGAGCGGCTCGGACGGTGGTGGGCCCTACTTCTGGTGCGTGCTGTTTAGTGGTGGCAGGTCGAATAGCAGTTTTGTGCTGGAGGGGCACGTGGCCAGGATAAGCAGGCCCGGGTGTTTTAGCGGGGCCAATGACCCGTGCCGTGGTGCGGGTCATTCGATGGGCTTGCCTTCGCCTGTTTGGAGGATTTTGGGCATGTGTTTGGTTTTATTGATCCTTCGGGTTTCGGATTCGTTCGAATTTTGATTTTGTTATAATTTTTACATCCTTCTTGGGTTTTGTTTTGTGGTGCAGTTTCTGCAGGGACTTTATGGTTTGGCTGTGAGATTACATTATTGCAGTGCTGGGAAGGGGATGACTACAGTCATGTTACGAAATCATTCCGCCAATGTTTCTAACCATAGATTATCTACACTGCACTAATCCACATGTGTATCTAATTGTTAGAAACACTGACGGGGATGATTCCGTAAGGGGACTGTAGTCATTTCCTTTGTTTTGATTCTTAGATTGTCATGATTGGCGTGGCCATTTTTATTTTTTTATTTTTTTTACAAAAAAAAAAAAAA